ACCAGGTCTCCACCTGCTTCCCCCCCCACTTGTTCCCCTGTCAAGGCGCTCCTCTGATGGCACCTTCTGACAGCTAGGCTCTTGAAGTTTGACTGCTGTTGCTGTCATGAAACAACATGACCAGAAGCAACTTGGGGAGGAAAGGGTTTGTTAGGCTTGCACTTCCTGAGCAATCCATCCTAGAGGGAAACCAAGGCAGGAGCTTCACGGTCCCCTAAGTAGGAACTGAAACAATTGCTGTGGAGGAATGCAGTCTGATGACTTGTTGCTCCTGGCTCATTTACTTTGCTCACAGTCCAGGACCAACTGCCCAGGGATGGCACCACCTCCAGTGGACTGCGGCCTTCCACACCGATCATTAATCAAGAAAATGCACCACAGACCAGTCTGTTTGGAGACGTTTTCTCAGTTGAGCTTCTCTCTTCTCAGCTGACTCTAGCTTGTGTCAGTGTCCAAAATACTAACCAACAGAGTTCCTTTCTAGAAGACTCCATTTCCTGGCTCACCTCACTGAAAGTCATTTGAGCTTGCTGTTCTGGTTCATTCTCTCTCCTCACCCCCAGGATCCTCTAACTCCAAGAGCCACTCGGCTAACTCTGGGGAGAACTCCTTCGCCTGTGTCTTCCTCATGCCCTGTAGTCCTGCTGACGTCCTCTGCTGGTAGCTACCCTGCCTATGAACAGCCCCATGGCTGAATCTTCTTTAGCCTATGGCCCCTGAGAGGCTGTATAATACTCTCTGACCATGCCAGCCTGGCACTTGACCTCCTTTTTTCCCACCTACCTCCCCAGCCAGCTCTGAGAGACCTTCTCCTGCTTGTCTCCCTGCCAGCATTTGGACTCACTGGCTGTGGCTGATTCCTAGCTACTTCCACATTCTGGTGTTTAATTCATTTGTTTGTTTGTTTGTTTGGTAGTCTGTTTGTCTTGACTATTGCTGAAAGTCTTGCCTATGCATGTTTTGTTCAGTAATACTTTATTTCTGATCAAATTAATATTGTTATTATTATCTTATAGAGTTCAAATGCCCTTGTGTTGACTATTTGTAGCATATTTTCTCACTACCAAATCATTAAATATACTGTTTTGTACCTAAATACCCATGTACTCGTCCCACCAGACATCTTTGTTAGTGACATGGGTAGACACAAAATTACAGCACTATAATTTTGTCTTAAATATAGAAATAGCAAATTGAAAGATATCAAAATTATCCTCATTGTTAGAGAAGAATCCCTTGATATATAAATGGCCATGACATAGTTAAGGACTTCTGCAAACCATAGAATGTGGAATGTTGCCCATTTCAGGGAACCATGGGACGTAATTGGGAGTGTTCCTACTGAAGGACAGCAAATACTGAGATGGTGACATTTGTACTGTCTTGTCAATATTCTAGTTACCTCCCAGTATTCTAGGAGATCATATGCTATAAATTAATGCCTCCTGTAGTTTTTCAAGGCCCAAAGCATACCCGGAAGGAAGCTTCCCTAAAAATGGGATACTATAATTTGGGGTTCTTCCCTCTTGTGTTGACATACCATTGAGAAGGATGCTCTTCTGTACTGATTGGGTAAGGGAAAAGGCCTTTGCCTTCTTTTTGTCTCATGGGTTGCAGGTGTACAAAGCAATGCCCATGAGGAAGGACTTGTCCCTAGGTAGACACTGCATAGTACATTGCAGAAGATGCTTTTCTGCAGCAGGTAGGCAATGTACTGTGATAGGCACCCTGCTACAATAGGTGGTGAAGAAGAAGACTCCAGGGAAACCTCTTCCTTCATTCTTGTGTCTTCCAGAATGGCAAAGTAGCCATCTATTCCCAGGAGCCACCTTAGTGACACATTCTTCATTATTGAGAAAATTTGGGGGCCAGGCAGGTCTCAGTGTGTAGAAGCACTTGTCACTAAGCTTATGACTTATTTGGAGGCCCAGCAGTCACATGCAAAAAGGAAAGCACTAACTCCCACAAGCTGTCCTTTGACTTGTACAGGCATATCTTCACATATGCACACAAACACACAGGCTCATAGGCAGCCATATATATGTGCGCTTGCACAGGGCACACAGACACACACAATAAATAATGCATGTAGCACAGAGATTTGGAGTTCCAGCTTCTGAAAAAATACATTTCGCCTTTTTGTATGTGACTGGGTAAACGGTGTGAAGGGTTTAGGTCTTCACAGCCCTAAAAGAAATCTCAGAGGCTGTAGAGAAGTTTCAGAAGTTAACAGGTCTTGCTGTTCTTTAAGGGGATCATATTTTTGTTTCTAGCACACACTTCTAGCAGCTAACAACTGGCCATAAATCCAATTCCAGGAGATCTGGTGCCCTCTCTGCCCTCTTTAATACAGTCTGTCATGTTGCTTTGACCCCAAACCATAAAATGGTTTTCATCGCTACTTCTTAACTGTTATGAACTGTAATGTAAATATCTGTGTTTTCTGATGGTCTTAGACCAGCCCTGTGAAAGGGCCATGCCACCCCATGGGAGTCGTGACCCACAGGCTGAGAACCACTGCCCTAAGTCCTCAAGCAGGAGTGCAAGGTCACCTGGAGAAGAGCCCGGCCTCATGGTTAGCCAGATCAGCTGGTTAACATGGGTGTGTAGCCTGATCAGTTTTTTTTTCTCTCGCTGCTGTGATCAAATACGCACAAGAATCGGTTTGAAGCAAGAAAGGTTTATTGTCTTTGCGGTCTGAGGGGCTACAGTGGGTTGGAGCGGGGAAGGTGTGGTCGGAGTGGTGTGAGATGGCCCATCACACTGCATCTCAGTTGAGGAGCAGAGAGAGGAAAAGCACACGACCCGAACCAGCTGACTCGATTCTTCTAGGCCCATTCCAGATCCGAAAGGATCTACAGCCTTCCAAAACGGCACCAGGGGCCGAGGGACAAGCATTCCAACACACACATTCCAACCCCTGCATTCTGTGGCCCCCACAGGCCCGTGGCCACTTCAAAACGCAAACAATACCCATTCCAATTTCAAAGGCACCCATGGTCCTTAACAGTTCCAATAGTGATCAACAATACAAGTCTCTTCTGAGAGCCCCTGTAAAATCAAAAACAGGTTTATACACTTCTAACACACAATGGCACAGGGCAAACATAGGGACGCAGCAAAGAAAGCTCAGAGCAAACCAGGAGAGGAAATGCTGCCTCTTCTTGTCACTTATCTGTGGCTCCTGCGGGAACCATCTTGGTTCCAAAGGCCTGGTGTAGCCCCCACCTCCCTCCAGCTGGGGCCCATGTAGCCACTCTGTTGGGCTGGCTCCACTCTTCGCCGACACCTTGTCCCGGCATCCCCCACATTCTGGGGTCTCTATGGCATATTAGGCTTTGCCTCCACGTCTTTGCATCACCAACCCCGGGGCCTCCTTGTGGGGATATGATCCTGTCACACTTTGCCTAGTTTTTGTGGGTTCATGGACCCTTGGCCCAAAGCTAGCATCCCCCAACTTTGCACTTTGGCCTGCTTGCAAAGCCAGGTGGAGTGTGCCGTCACACCAGTTTGAGATATCATATGGTCCCCTGAGACCAAAGTAGTAGTGCTCTCTGTCCACATTGGCGGTTCAGACAGAGCAAATGGCTCTCTGCAGTGGTGGTCTCTTTGAGCAGGAGATGCCCTCAGTGGTGTTCTAATCCCTGCCTCTCCTTTTCCACCCATTTGCACTGTTATAGGTCACGAGCCTACATTGGTCGGGGCCTTGACATCCTGGCACCTTTGCTACTGTGCCAGCACAGACCACAGTGCTTCCCTGTATTGGGGCTAAGTCCTCTGACAAGAACAGCTGCGCTTGCTCCGTAGCTTTGAACTCTTTTCTTTCCTTGACAATCTGCAGTTTTCATGCCTATGTGCTCCACTCACTGCTCTCTGTCCCTGCAGGCCTGTGTGAGAGCACTGAGCAGTAACCTTGACACAGCTTGAAAGCTGTCCTGTCCCTAAGATTCTTCCACACACGAATTAGCCTATTGCTTTGGATTTCTGACTTGACTTCTCAGGACACAAGCAATATGTGACTAGGGTCTGAGCACAAATGGCTTCTAGCCCAGGTCCCAGAGGAGTCTTACTCCCTTCTGACTCTTCAGGAGCAGGACCTCCCCTGCCTGGATGTCTCTCGGCATCCTGGCCTTCCAAATCCCCACCAGAATGACCACTGAAGCTCTTCCTTGAGCATCCTAGGCCCTTTCCAGTGCGAAGTTCCAAACTCTTCTGTATTCTGCCCCCAGACCATCTCAAAGCCCTGCATACTACATGGCCGGGTTTGTCATCGCAATGGCCCCCACATCTCATTCTGCCTTGGGTACTTCTCTCATTGCTTAAGAACAAATACCCCACCGTAAAGGAGGGAAGGGGGAGGGTACATCCCAGCTTGGTGGAGAAGGAATGGTGGCAGGAAGAGGAACAGGAGCAAGAGCGGGAGGCTGGCTGTCGGCATCTCACCTGGAGTCAGGAAGCAGCAGAGCATGCACAGGAAGTGGGCCTGGCTCCAAAGCCTCCAGACCCTTCCAGGGGACTCACCTCCTCCACGAAGCCCCGACCTCCTAAAGGTTCCACAGCCTTTCCAACGAATGCCACCAACTGGTGAGCATGAGTCCAAATACACGAGTCCCTGGAGGCCACTCCACCTCCAAACCACTGCAGTAGCCTGCCTGTGTGGGGACAGTCTGGTCTCAAGCCTGGGAAGGATACACATATACAGTGCAGAGAACCTGCTGTGGCCAAACGTTGGGATCTCCACGGGGCTTCGCCTACCCTTCCTAAGGATAACAGGGCTGCTTGAGGCCTGTCTCTGCCAGTAGGGTGGCCACAGTCAGTACTGTTAAAATCAGGGAATCTGCTCTCTCACTCTCTGTCTCATGCTCTCTCGTGCTCTCGCTTTCTCTCTCTCTCTCTCTCTCTCTCTCTCTGTCGCATGCTCTCTCTCTTGTTCTCTCTCTTTCTCTCCTCTCTGTCTGTCTTGTGCTCTCTCTCTCATGCTCTCTCTCTCACGCTCTCTCTCTCTCTCTCTCTCTCTCTCTCTCTCTCTCTCTCTCTCTCTCTCTCTCTCTCTCTCTAAGACAACAGCCAGTCTCTGCTCTATCAAGGTCAGTCCAGTGTCTTTTAAAGTGTCCTTTTGTCTAGTGGTGGAAGCTGTCAGCAGTGAGCCCAGCTGGGTCCTCTAGATGGTGATCCTGGAGAAGGAGACTCGCAGGTGTTGGTTCTGGTCTAGGGTGTGGCCATGCAGGTCGATCAGGGCCTGAATGGCCTCCTCTACAGAACCCATCCGGATCAGCGCCATCTTGCGGTCCTTTGGGAAGAACTTGAAAGCCTTGACAGAACCCCCGCTGCTGGAGAAGAGTTTCTTGAGGTCTTCCTCCAAGACCGAGGTGGGGAGGTTGGAGAGGTGCAGGGTGGCAGAGGGCGGAAAGATGTTCTGGAAGTTCTTGGATCCGGGCTTCCTAAAGCGGTGCAGTGGGGAGTTGACATAGTCCTTGGTGAGGCTCTGGTCCTCCTTGCCCTCCCGGGGCAGCTTCACGCTCTGGTGCTTCGATGGCATGATGCATAGAGACTTGCCATGCAGCTTATGCCCATTCAGGTGCTTCAAGGCCAGCTCAGCCTGGCTCCCGTCCGCCATCTGCACTAGCGCGTTCTCCTTTCTGTTGAACAAGATCTTCACCCGCTGCACATTGCCATAGGCACCAAACAGAATGAAGAGGCTTTGGGGTGTGACTTTCTCGGGGTTGAGGTTGGCAACCAGAAGGACGGCGTTCGCCACACCTGGGGAGCCTGAGGCGACGACTGGGCTCTCTGCTCCAGCTGCGGCCAATGCCACAGCCACTTCTGGTACGACCAGGGGGCCCAGGGCCCTACACGCCTCTGGCATGGAGAGGCTTGCGACTTGAGGGATTGCAAAGGTGTGAGGTACTCCAGGGCTTGCATGTGGAGAAGCTGAGATCACGACAGGTGCACCGAAGGCCGTGGTTGTGTTCTGGGCTGGCAAGGGCTGGCTCTCACCCGAGGGCAGGTCTGGGCGCGTGTAGTCACGGCTCTTGTCATTGTTGTACTTGACCGTGAGGTCAGTGAGCCCGGAGAAGGCAATGCGCAGTGTGCAGCAGGCATCGTAGATGTTCTGCCCATCCAAGAACAGCTTGGCACACTGGGCACTCAGAGGGTGGGCATACTGTAACAGCACCTGGAACCGGCTGTTCTTAGTGTACATGATGATCTTCAGTACCGTGCCAAACCTGGAGAAGAGCTGGTGCAGCACTTCCAAGGTCACGCGATAGAAGTAGTTCTCCACAAGGATCCTGAGCACAGGGCTCTGCCTGGCCACCACGGTCTCTGTGTCCACAGCAGCGGCAGGGGTGGCCGAGGCCACCTTTCCCGCACAGTCTGAGGTCTCAGAAGTCGGCAGGCCTGGCTGGGCACCCACCTGGCTGGGGTCACCCACCTGGCTAGAGCCACCTGCCTGGCTGGGGTCACCCACCTGGCTGGAGGCACCTGCCTGGCTGCAGGATCTGCTCACCTGGAGCTCTTTGTAGCGGGAGAACTGGATGTGGACAGGCTGCCCATGCAGCACAGGAGTCACCCAGGTGTAGTACCTGACCATGGTGTGGGCGGCATCCTCCGTGCTCATCTCCACGAAGGCCTGGTTCTTCCCCTTTAGAAACAGTAGGTTGGACACCTTCCCGAATGGCAGCGCCAGACGGAGAACTTCTTTTTCCGTGACACTGCTTGGCAGCCTGTGGATGTGGATCACTCTCGATGGGCCCTCAGCTCTCCTTCTGTCCCTTTTGAACCTCTTGCTGTCATTTTCCTCGGATGCAGGGGGGGAGTAGCTGCTCATGACAGCAGATTGGTTCTGGACACAGGCAGAGAGAAGACAGAGAAGAGCTCCTCTGACCACAGCCCTCTACAGACTGCTGTGTCTAAGGCACAAGAGCAGAATTGCAGTAGATGGAGTGGAGAGGAGTGAATAGCCCAGCCCTCCTTGTTTGATACAGTGTTGGCTTGATTAGAATCACGTGAACAGCTGTGTTGCACACTGAGACACTGGTTCTTAACATTCTGGAGCATTCTCTCTCTCTCTCTCTCTCTCTCTCTCTCTCTCTCTCTCTCTCCCTCTGTGTGTGTGTGTGTGTGTGTGTGTGACTATTTGCCTATGTCTCTGTCTGTCTCTGCCGCTGACTCTTTCTCTGTTTGTCCCTCTCCCTCTCTCCCTATCTCTGTGCGTTTGTCTGTCTGTCTCTCTCTGTGTGAATATTTGCCTATGTATCTGTTTGTCCCACTCCCTTTCTGTCTCTGTGCGTCTGTCTCTCTCTCTCCTCTCTCTCTCTCTCTCTCTCTCTCTCTCTCTCTCTCTCTGCATGTGTGTATTTGAATGTGTGTGTGTATGGGTGTGTTGTGTGTGTGTGTGTTTGTGTGTGTGTGTGTGTGTGTATTCCTCATCTATGCTGGCTGAAACGAAGGAAGAAACACACATAATTTCTCAAATCGTTTGGGTGTTAGCTTATGCCTTTAGACCTGGAGCTATACTTTTTCTCAAAAATTTTTATGCTGAAGTATAATATTCCCTAAGTATTAGCATCTGAGTTTCAAGCACAGAGGTTTGTAGTGGGTGCCTGGAAACCTGTTTATATTGGTCCTTAAATGTAGATCACATTCTTAACCACTGATTCCTATTCTCATTTTCCCTTTGGTTTGTGACTAATTGTTTAGAAAGCATCATGGTTTAGCTGTAGTTTGCAGTGTCTCAGCAAAAGTGAAAGAGATAACGATGCTAAATTACAATGTTTTGAAAAGTAGTGGCCCTGGGCCTTCTTCTCAAAGAGGCTATTGTGCAGAGTGCAGAGTGGAGGAGGTGCCAACATGTTCAGAGATGATTTCATGTTTTAGCTCAAGGACTCGAGTGGTAGGGTGAGACAAGGTTTGGGGAAGGAGGCATAGAAATCTAGGGGACCCCTCTGCTGTGGAATTATTGAACTGAATCTTCTTTAAACTGAGCATGTATTTTCAGAATGTATTATCGGGTTTCTGAAAAATGGGAAGGAATTTCATTCTGCTGCTAAGCACAACTCTTTGTCCTTCAATTAACCTGAGCATCGTGGGCCCTTTCCATCTCCCAGCATGTGAATGAGGGCTTAGTTCTGGATGATAACCACAGTTCCATCACATCAGGGGAGCTGAGAGGTGGAGGTGTTTACTCACTGCTGATACACTCTGCCTGAATAATACCCACCGCAAACAGGACTCACATAAAACATAGATTCTCAAAGCTAGCAGTGTTCCCTTGCAAAATACAAAATGGGACAGAATCCTGTGTCCTTGAATTTTAAATAAGAGACATGTAGGATGACCTAAATACTAATGAATTGACACTCAGAGTAAATGGACTGATAGAGAGTAGTACAGGTTTGAAGAGTGCCAGTTGTTTTCAGTATAATGGTTTCGTGATGAGCACGCAGATGGCTTTGCTTTGAACACCTACAAGTGTGTGGTTGCTTTGCTTAATACAGATGATTCTTGCTTTCACATGTGGGCACTGTTCTTCTCATGCCTTACTTTAGGAAAAGAAATGCTAGGGCAAATGACAAAATTGTACTAAATTGTACTAAATGTGGAAACTCTACAGACCCGAGGGAACTTATTGCCAGTTTAAAAACTCAAATCACTGGAACAGTTACTCTGTCTCTTTCTTTTCTAAGTCAAATGAGCAGCACGGGCCTGATCCAGTGCTTGGGATTTTCCTTCTGACAGGTTTATTTATGCTCTGCCATAAGGCTGCCTCCTTCGATGAAGAGTCCCTTCATCTGACCATGTTGTGTCTCTACATGCAGCATGTTATATCAACTCCAAACCGTTTGGGCACGGGAGCTTCAGAGATGGTAGATACTGATATTAAAGTGTTTCACCAAGTTGAAATCTGCCAATCTTATCGGTCTGAACTCCAATTTAAAGATTAAATTAGAATTCAGTGAATTAGATGTTACTGAATCTTAGAGCCCCACTCTGCTCCATTTCCATACTCCCTCATGGGTCTCTGAGTCCCCCAAGATGTCTTGGTTTTCCTGACCATTAGAAAAGACAGACTTGATGTCGAATGCCCTCAGAGCCTTCTCCCAAATGAAGATATACCCTCCATAGAAAACATTATGTCACAACCTATTCCTTGTTGGAGAATGGGTGTTCTGTCCATGTCTGTCACCTCTAGCCACCCAGCCTCATCTATGTAATCAACTGTCCGGAGAAGTCCTATCACAAGGAAATCGCCTGAGAACACTGTAGCCAGGGAAAGGAAAGTAAAGAGAGAAAGACCATTCAAGATCCCAGCCCAGGGCCATAATCTCTCCCACAGAGAGTCAGCCATGTTACCTTGACAGGTGTCTGCCCCACACTGTGGTGGAGACCATCAGATTTGCAGTATTTCCCCCTCTCCTTTATTCTGAGTCAAATGAGCTGCAGAGCAACAGAATCCCTGCAGAGCAACAGAGCAGACTGAAGTGTTCCAAATGCTCATAGAGGGAGATTATACATCCTAAACTACCTACAATTAGACACCCGGGAAGCCTGTCACTGAGGAGTAAATGAAAGATTTTAATAAAAATTCGGGGTTTGTTTACAGTTTCAGTGGGCTAGTCTAATATCTTCATTTTGAGATTTTTGTTTCAGGCAGGGTGGTATAATGCTGAAGGAGTGAGTAGACACTATGATTAGATAATTTCTAAGAGAAAATATTTAATTTGGTGCTTCCTTACAGTTTTGGTGAATTAATTTAACATCATCATGGTCTGGATTATGGAGGTAGGCCTCCAGGCCTGCATAGTGCTGGATGAATAACTGAGAGTCTTAAATCTTAATCTTCATGTTGTTGAGTGGGCAGAGACAGAAAGATAGACACATAAAAAGTGACAGAGCAAGACTTGGTTTAGGCTTTAAGATCCGCATAGTTCATTCCAGTGACATACCTCCTCTAAGAAATCCATATATCTTAATCCTTCTCAAACATTTTCACTAACTGGGGAACAAACATTTAAAATGAGTCTATTGTGACAATTCTTATTCAAACTACCACAGAAAAATCTAGGAAAATCACAAGAAAAGTTATTCTAAAATAGTGCAACCACTCCTCTTCTCCACTTCTCTTTCTCCTCACTCCCTCTCCATGACCCCCATTCTTCCAGTTAGCTCAGGAGATCCTGTGCCTTTTTCCTTCACCTAGCTTCTCTGGCAGTGTGGATTGTAGACAGGTAATCCTTTGCTGTATGTCTAGTATCCATATGTGAGTGAGTACATGTTTGTGTTTCTGTGACTGGGTTACTTCTCTCAGCATAGTTTAATCCATTTGCCTGCGAATTACAAGATTTCATTGTTTTTTTTTCCACTGAGCAGTACTCCATTGTGTAAATGTACCACCTTTTATTTATTCATTCTTCAATTGCTGGTCATCTATGTTGCTTCTACTTTCTGACTGTTAAAATTAATGCTGCTATGGACATAATTTACATAATTTAACAGATGTCCTTTTTGCATGAATGGGCATCTTTTGGGTATATGCCTAAGAGTGGAATGCTGGATCTTGTGGTAGACTGATTCCCATTTTCCTGAGGAATCTCCATACTGATTTCCAAAGTGGCTGTACGGAGTTGGCACTCCCACCAGCAGTGAAGGAGTGTTCCCCTTTCTCCACATCCTCTCCAGCATAAACTGTCACTGGTGTTTTTGATTTTAGCCATTCTGACAGGTGTGAGATGGTATCTTAGAGGTGATTTGATTTGCGTTTCCCTGATGGCTAAGGATGTTAAGCACTTTCTTAAGTGTGTATCAGCCATTTTAGACTCTTATATTGAGAATTCTTTAGTTCTGTACCCCACTTTTTAATTGGATTATTTGGTGTTTTTGTGACTAGCTTCTTGAGTTCTTTGTATATTTTAAAAATAGTCCTCTGTCAGATGTGGGGCTGGGGAGTATCTTTTTCCAATCTGTGGGCTGCTATTTTGTCTTGTTGAGTGTGTCCTTTGCCTTACAAAAGCTTTTCAGTTTCAGGAGGTAGGCCCCATTTATTAATTGTCGATCTCACTGTTGTACTACTGATGCCATATTCAGGAAACAGTCTCCTCTACCAATTCGTTTGAGGATACCTCCTACTTTCTTTTCTAAGAGGTTCAATGTGGCTGGATTTATGTTGAGTTTTTTAATCCATTTGGACTTAAGTTTTGTGCAAGACAATAGATATGGATCTATCTGCATTCTTCTACATGCCAGCATCCAGTTATGCCAGCACCATTTGTTGAAGATGCTTTCTTTTTTCCATTGTATAATTTTAGCTTCTTTGTCAAAAATCAAGTATTCATAGGTGTGTGGGTCCATATCAGGTATTCAAATTGATTTCATTGGTCTACCTATCTATTTTTGTGCCAAAACCAAGCTGTTTTCAGGACTATAGCTCTATAATAGAGCTTGAAGTCATAGATGGTGATGTCTCCAGAAGTTCCTTTATTGTACAGGGTTGTTTTGGCTATTCTGGGTCTTTTGTTTTTCCATATTAAGTTGAATATTGTTCTTTCAAAGTCTGTGAAGAACTGTGCTGGGAATTTGATGGGGATTGCATTGAATCTGTAGATTGCTTTTGGCAGGATTGCCATGTTTACTATGTTGATCCTACCTATACAAGAGCATGGGGGATCTTTCCATTTTCTGATGTCTTCTTTAATTTCTTTCTTTAAAGACTCAAAATTCTTGTTATACAGGTCTTTTACTTGTTTGGTTAGCATTAACCCAAGGTATTTTATGTTGTTTGTGGCAATTGTAAAGGGTGATGTTTCTCTGATTTCTTTCTCAGCCCATTTATCTTCTGTATATAGCAGAAGATATATACAGGAAATATATACAGATTTTTTGAGTTGTTCTTGTATCCTGCCACTTTGCTGATGGTGTTTATCAGCTGTAG